AGCGACGAAACAAGCTTTCAACCTTTTGCACATCACAGCACCCCAACAACAAGCCCCTTCACGCAAATGCGCGAGCTGGGCATCTGCTTCCGGTCCAGACGGGAAGGGAGATAACTCTCATTAAAGTTGGCATGTATACAGATAGTACATCTAGATAATATTACAATTGACTACACTTAAAGGAATAATAGGTCCATTGATTATGCAATGTTGACGAATGCTAGAGTAACTGGCACCTTGTGTAGTTAATAAGTACGTTACCTTATAGCCAAACGCGTATTAGTTTTATCCAATATCACTGCTGGTTACTAAGAAATGTCTAATTGAAATCCGCAGTCCAAAAATCAGTTGTTTACAGTTTCAAACCGCTGCCGGCAAAGCGCGTGTGATACAGATTTATAGTGCACCAGACATTTTTGCACTGCCGTACGCAATGCTATCATCAGTGATTTCGTAACCATTGACGCTCGTGATAAGGAACTTTTTGTCAGGGCTGTCCACGTGCGTCCGTGATTAGTACATGTTTTACTCTATTTCCATGTTTAGTCCGTGGCCATGGTTACACCGCTGACACCTCCGTTTCATCTGGCGTCCAAAACATACATGTTTACACACAAATGTTTACGTCATCGCTTGACTCCTGGATGACATTTACGGCACGTAAATGATACGTTGATACATATCAACAACCGATTTCAAGTCTTGTTTGTAATGTAACCAGCAGTGATATTGGACAAACTAATACGCGTTTGGCTATAAGGTAATGTACTTATTAACTACACCAGGTGCCAGTTACTCTAGCATTCGTCAACATTGCATAATCAATGGACCTATTATTCCTTTAAACAATATTTCAAATGCAATTTGGACAGATTACCCAATTACTGTATGACACAAATGCAAAGGATAACTTATGATGAAAAATGTATTATTAGTCTGCATTTCAATTGAAATTTCAATCGCATAGTCTATGCTACCACACAATGTGTGCGTGCGTGGGTGCATGCGTGCATTCGTGCGTGGGTGCATGCGTGCATGCGTGGAATTTATCTGACTGGTGTTGTGTCTACAAACATACAACTGCCCACCGTTTTGCATTCTCCTCAACCATTTACCATTGAGTCATGCATTACAGGACACACGTCTTTCACTCACTTATGGTTTACTACGTCGACTGTGTTATTTCTAACAGCTTTCGTCAATCTCTTGGCTGCAGCCTCAAGTCCAAGATACACCGTACCAATGCCTACAAAAAATGAAATATTTAAATACAAAGTACATGTAATAACACATACTATGTCAGTGAATAGAATGTCTCACTGCTAAAACCTAAATACGTTTAGAAACAGCTACTGCTTCTATGTGTCAGGGGTGAAAGGGGAGAGGGTCTATGTGGTATGCATTACATCAGGAGTTAATAATGACAAATTTGTCATTATTAACTCCTGATTACATGCATTAATGAGAATGAGAAATTGGCTCACACCTTCAATTGATAAAGCAACATGCCCAATTTGCTGCTTACTAATATGTGAATTAGTATGAAAATATCATGTTTTTATTCACTCCTGAAAATAGGATGATTTCTTAATATATCATCTATACCAGCTTAGTCCCCATAACAACACAATGTCATGTTCTTCCATTTATGTCACCATGTTACTGTAGCTATATGCATAGATGCTAACAAGGTTGTCATGGCTGTAGGATGAAAGCTCGTGATACCACCTTTTAGTCCACCAGCAGCAACTGTGATGACACTTTCAACATCTGACTTGCCACCAGGCTTGCTAGCAACGCGGTATGACTCTGGGACAAGGGACTCTCCAATATTCTTTACATGTGGGGCCAAGTAGGATCCCAATGCTTTTGTTGCATCTCCCAGCTTGTCAACTGCATCAGAATTAGGATAATAACTCATTCACATTATTAACTTATTAACATTTTTATCTTACTACTGACTGCAGGCAAAACGAAGTTTTCCACTGCAGTAGAATAAGCAGGTGAACCAGGATCTAACCCAGGAATCCACTGACTTGAACTGCTTTCTGGCTGGTAGAACTTGCAATGTTCAAGCCCGTCTGATATTTGTAATCCACTTGGACGTGCTCCTGCTCTGGCGATATGTGCTCCTTAAGTTTTAAAGAACTATAATCCAGAAGGTCCGACGTCTTCTCTGCTCCTTTAAATAGGCCCCAGGCGATCCATTCTGCACCTAACAATATATTTTTGCAATAATATATAAAAGTACTGGACCAGGAGTGGACACATCAAGAAGGAAATGTAAAAATGAGCCTATTTAACAAAACTATATCTCTGGTTAGTACTCCCAATGGGTTAGCTAATATATTTTACAAAATTCACATTTTAATTTCAATTATTTTATAATTACAATAGAATTTATATAGCCATTTTCAAATACGTTTGTTAACACATTGCAAATTTTAGAATTGATTTATGAAGTTTCTGACAAAGAATATGACACCCATCACGTACTAAGGATAATTTAGACAAAAAATATCCCAACCAGACTGTTTTAATTACCTTTTACGAGTCCCTTCGATATTGTGTCACTGACATGATCCTCACTTTCTTTAATCTTTTTCAGAGGTGGATGTGGTTTTACTTCTTTTATTGCAGTAGCATCGGACTGCGGTGCCTCAATGACTAATGCACTTAGCCTGTTTAGCAACTTTTCAAATGCTTCTTTCACAACAGGGGCTACATCATCAGATAATAGAATCCCAACATATCCTCCTGTGTAAGGGTAGCAATGGTAGACAGCGTCAGTGGTAAACTGGGAGGATGGAACGTTAACAGGAGTTCTAGTTTGTATAAAGCCTTCAGTGAATTAGATACTGGTAAATTATTGAGGCTATAGCAGTTGATTAATTGGCATCACGAAGGCTCAGAAAAGCAATTGAATGTTGATAGTGAGAATTGGTGTTGGACCTCACACAAAAATCTTTATTGCACTTAGATTGTTGATTGACTACGTCTGTTAATTATAATAGTCTCAACGCCAGATACCATATTTGTATAATAACAGCAAGACACAAGACACTACTACTACAAAAATTATCTATACATAAGTGAAGAAATTGCAAGAAAAAGAAGTATTATAGCTAAAATGAAATGCATGGCAAAAACGTCTTATGCAATCAGTTTAAGCAGACCAATCATTTGGAGGATAATTTACATTTGCAATGATTTCTGACTACATCCAAGTATGGTATAGGTAATTAATAATGCAGCGTGCATCGTATATTTACAGTAATATACCAGCTTGTGCAGATATAACATCTGGGAACATGTAGGCTCCAGTTTCACTGTGAAGTATAGGTGACTGCCCAGGTAAAAGAGGAAATGCCCAACCTGCAACCTGTACACAGAATTTTCAATTAAAGTGGCATTTCTCCAATGAAAATCTGTCACAAATGTCTCAGGGCCCTCGCTACCCACTCGCCAATTCGCCAATGGCGAACAAATTAGTAATCTGGCGATTGAAAGTCTTATTTGGCGAAAAAAGTGACGAACGTAATTTTCCCGTAATAAACATGACCCAGCAAACATCGATCCTATTTGATCGTCGAAACAGCATCTTTTTGCGTGCCGGCACATTCCCGGCGGCGGCGGCGGTTTCATTCCC